TAGCAGTGGCTGTTGTAGTAGTATTAGCAGTGGCTGTTGTAGCAGCAGCAGTAGTAATATTAGCAGTGGCTGTTGTAGCAGCAGTAGTAATAGCAGTGGCTGTGGTTGTAGTAGTATTAGCAGTGGCTGTGGTTGTAACAGCAGCAGTAGTAGTATTAGCAGTGGCTGTGGTTGTAGCAGCAGTAGTAATATTAGCAGTGGCTGTGGTTGTAGCAGCAGCAGTAGTAATATTAGCAGTGACTGTGGTTGTAGCAGCAGCAGTAGTAGTAATAGTGGCTGTGGTTGTAGCAGCAGTAGTAATAGCAGTGGCTGTGGTTGTAGCAGCGGCAGTAGTAATATTAGCAGTGGCTGTGGTTGTAGCAGCGGCAGTAGTAATATTAGCAGTGGCTGTTGTAGCAGCAGTAGTAATAGCAGTGGCTGTGGTTGTAGTAGTATTAGCAGTGGCTGTTGTAGTAGTATTAGCAGTGGCTGTTGTAGCAGCAGCAATAGTAATATTAGCAGTGGCTGTTGTAGCAGCAGTAGTAATAGCAGTGGCTGTGGTTGTAGTAGTATTAGCAGTGGCTGTGGTTGTAACAGCAGCAGCAATAGTAGTATTAGCAGTGGCTGTGGTTGTAGCAGCAGTAGTAATATTAGCAGTGGCTGTGGTTGTAGCAGCAGCAGTAGTAATATTAGCAGTGGCTATGGTTGTAGCAGCAGCAGCAGTAGTAATATTAGCAGTGACTGTGGTTGTAGCAGCAGCAGTAGTAGTAATAGTGGCTGTGGTTGTAGCAGCAGTAGTAATAGCAGTGGCTGTGGTTGTAGCAGCGGCAGTAGTAATATTAGCAGTGGCTGTGGTTGTAGCAGCGGCAGTAGTAGTAATAGTGGCTGTGGTTGTAGCAGCAGTAGTAATAGCAGTGGCTGTGGTTGTAGCAGCGGCAGTAGTAATATTAGCAGTGGCTGTGGTTGTAGCAGCAGCAGCAGTAGTAATATTAGCAGTGACTGTGGTTGTAGCAGCAGCAGTAGTAGTAATAGTGGCTGTGGTTGTAGCAGCAGTAGTAATAGCAGTGGCTGTGGTTGTAGCAGCGGCAGTAGTAATATTAGCAGTGGCTGTGGTTGTAGCAGCAGTAGTAATATTAGCAATGCTCGTGGTAGTAGCAGTAGTAATATTAGCACTGGCTGTAGTAGCAGCAATAGTAATATTAGCACTGGCTGTAGTAGCAGCAATAGTAATATCTAAAGTAGTAATATTAGTAATGGTGTGTCTAAAGAACTAGGTTCAACGTCATCCCATACGTTTCAAACCATACCCCGGCCGGGATTGAACCCACGGTCAGAGAGTCTCAAAACTCCAGCCCGTCGCGTTAGCCACTAGACCAGCTAGCCACAATAAGATTCATCCAACTAGGTATATTTCTACACTATAGGAAGGTTAGCACAGGCACCACTGTGACCACAAATGCAAGTTTTTACAGACGAATCTCCAGCTAGAGTGGCCGTGACGAACTCTAGCTCAAGTCCTTTCACTGCCGTCAATATGACTCACGAAATCGTAATGACACGATTGCAAACAAACCATACCCCGGCGGGGATTGAACCCGCGGCCAGAGAGTCTCAAAATTCCAGCCCGTCGCTGGTCTAGTGGCTAACTCGACGGGCTGGAGTTTTGAGACACTCTGACCGCGGGTTCAATCCCGGCCGGGGTATGGTTTGTTTGCACTCGTGTCATTACGATTTCGTGAGTCTTAAGTTTCAATTTTCATGAACATATCAAAACAACCTGGTATCGTCTATACACCTCACCCTCTCCCTACCTACATCTTTTTTTTTACCTCCCACACTAACCTATTCTTCAACTAAAGTATGCATTATTTTATGTACCACCCTTCGTGTATTTCCGCAAGCTTGAAATTTTTTCATAAAATGTAATATTTGTTATTAGAGGTTAACATACATCAGCCTCCCTTTGCGCGTAACTACACGACAATAACGAATTTAAATGGAAAAAAGTGGATGTTTTATTTCTAGCAGCACTGGACATAGTGAAAAATCTTAAGCAATTTCTAGCGAACGGTAAAAAAAAAAATGAAGTATAACCACCCCCCTCGGTTGTGCCTCCCACGCACTCGCCGAGTCCAGCGAGTGTAACGCCAATTCAGTGACTTCACAGACGTCTTCAGCAGGACTGGGATTATTAGTATGAGAAAACAATAGTCCTTTCCTTAAAAAGAAAATCTTTCATAATCACGCCTTGTTAGTTTGTATCAGTAGGAAAGTGATGAATTAAACGTTTACAGCGAAACGTTAAGAACATATGAACAAAAGAAAGAAGGAACACTGCAACAGGCCTACTGCCCTATGCGAAGGAACTCCTATTCTCCCACCGGCTATAGCATATTTAGTTATCAAAATGTCTTCTTTGAGCATTACATGTTGTGATCCGATTGTTGCAGACATAACATGAATCTTATTGTAAGGTCTGTTTTCAACAGACCTTAAATAACAATTTACCACAAAATTCCTGCTTTCGCCCATTTGTACCTAACTCAAAATTACAACTCATCCTCTAAGTAAGTTTATTCAGGTATACACTGATAGTTACATAGATTATCATACATAGCAGCATATGTGTAGAGAACCTAGGATTACCCAATAAAAATCGAAGTGACATTTCCATTGGTTAATAAGCGTTAAATTAAATTAACTAAATCAAGAATATCAAATGTTAAATTTCCGTTGCATGTTAATTCGTCAATTAGCGAGCTGCAGTTCGCCGTGAAATGCACGCTGAAGTGGGCGAAACAAAGGTGACCAGGGTACACGGGTGGTGCTGAGAGCGATGACCACAACGCCTAAACACTAACACAACACAGTAAAACCACCATGACAAAGCACCACCATAACACCACAGAGCACCACAACAGCACCTCAACCATAATACCACCACAACCATAACACTATTATACAGATAGTTGTTGTTGCAGACTTACTAAGTCCTGGAGTGTCAAGAACACATTGTAGACACGATTGAGAAGTCGCCCAACAAATTAGAAAACAACAGTATCTGCGGAATGGTGTGTTGCTCTAGTCTCGGAGGAGGGAGAGACCTTCCCTTCAAGAGTCGTGAAGGGTTCTTGATCCAACGAACCGAGTTACTCTGCCCATGGTTTAAACCTGATTGCCTCTCATTACCTAGTCACTGTGTGACCCCTTCGGGATTAGCGCTTCACCGTGAATATACTTATATTCGGGGACCTCGTTACTTCACTTCTGGTGAATGTTACTCATGAGTGCCAGGATCCTCTGACGGATGTCACTCCCGGGCCACCCTGATGCACTGACGTCATGTTTACACGATGCAATATATGTGACGTCCTCAACAACCCCCGTCTCTCCCCACTGTCGTCTCCCTCCCACGTCTCCCCACTCACCCCCACCCCCTCATTCCTCAAAAAAAAGTGTTAGCGTATTTACTTACTCTGATGCAAGACACTTTTTTTTTTCTTGTTTGGCTACTTTAATTATACTTAAAAATCTTAAAGTATCTGACGGTGCTCACTTTAATGTGTCTGACATATCAAGGAGAAATAATCTGACTGCTGTACAGCAGAGGGAACCCGGAGTAGTTATAGAATAGTGGGACCCCCAGAACTGTTGTACAACAGTCTCGAACAAGAGCTGTTCAACAGTAGGGACCCAGAACTGTTAAACAGCGTCGAACAAGAGGTGCTATTCAACCGTGGGGACCCAGAACTGCTGTTCAGAAAAATGGGTAGCGATAACTACTATACAGTGGGAACCCAGAGATGTTAAAAAGCAGTTGGGACACAAAACATTTTAAAACTCTTGTGTACATAGAACTGCTATACTCATGTACTTCCTGTTTATTTCCTGTTCAAGTTTTATTTTCTCAGCAGACGATGGTCTGCGAGTTTGTCACTACGTTGGTTCCTGTTCATAAAAGCTTTCATCTTTATTTTATGCAAGGTGAAGTTACGGTAGGTTTTATAAACCTTGTAAAATAAGTATATTTGATAATAAGACAATTACTGAATATCAGCCGGAAACGTTCGAATATAGAAGATTATCACTGGCGGTGGAAGAGCGGGTTGGTGGCTGTGTTCTCAGTTACCTCTGACCTCTCTGGCAACCGGAAAATTTACTTGAGCAAACTGAACAAAAGTCAGTCTGAGGGAACCAGCTCTTGTAAGTACGTCTTGTGTTTCTTTTGTCTCAAGGGAGAAGATTTCAAGGGCGTCATTACTGGATTTCGCAGGGGAAACTCCAATTCCTTGGATTAGGAGACCGTCATCGGAATCAAATAGCCTCCCTGGAAGTGGAGGTTGGGTGACTTAGGACTTCCTCATGCCGAGGTGGCGGCGAGGACGCACATAGGTGGCAGCAACAATGATGGAACACTTATCATCAATCACCTCACTACTGCTGCTGGAAATAAGTCAACAGCCTCTTCCCACGATTACTACTGGTTATATATATACCGTTGGATATTATTAGTTGCAATCAGGCGGGGAGTGGTACTGATCTACAACTGTTGTACCAGAGACACTAGTAACATAAATTGGTGAGGGGTAGTGATCACTGCTCTGTTGGTGGACCAGAAAGAATAGTAACTGGAAAGCAGGAGGCTAGATTTTAATTTTATCCATGAAGCTCTGAACTGGGTACTGGGAGGTAATAACTTTTCATCTAAAAGGGAGGATATCTCAGTGGGTTGCCCCTCCAGGGAAGTTTGTTTGATGCTTGTGAGGGGCTCTTGATCCAAGAAACTGAACTTGTCATCTCCTAGTTTCTGTACTACCTTTACAGGTTTACCGCTTCCCTCTACATATACTATTCTTACCGAGTTTTCCATACACTTGCTGAAAATAATGGTTATAGTGGCTAGTTACATTTTGATGTTCAGAACAGTGTGTGTGTGTGTGTGTGTGTGTGTGGTGTGTGTGTGTGTGTAACGGAGACCAAAATATACAACTCTGTAAACGTATATTTTTTTGTGCTAACAGATGCTAGAGCGATGCTGTTGTCTTCCTGTTCTGATATCTGTTGCCGGATGGGCTTCCACGAACAAACTGTGACGAGGTAATACGAAAGTTTAAGTTTATAATATTACACACAGAAGCTATTGCTCTCTGGCGAATTTATACAATATTTATATACTTGTATGTCATCAATCATTATTATCACTATTATCCTTATCAGTCACCATCATAGATACTTTTAGAATGATTTAGTTTGTAGTGTTTAATAAGAATTCTAATCTCCCAGACAAAAACTCATTTTATCGACACAAAGAAGGAAAATGTAATAAAACTCGTACATAAAATTCAGTGTAGGGAGGGGGAGGGACCTACGTAAAAAGTTCTGTCCTGTTGTAAGAATGAATTACAAAATCTGTTGCATTGTTGCCCTTCTGCAAATTTTGTTTTTTTATTCTTCATGGCTATCAGAGATGACCTGGAGTTATAGATGGCTGAAGATGCACGTACCTTTACTTACCTGTGTTTCATATGGAATTTTATTTCTCTAACGTGTATTGGAATCCCTTACCAGTATGTGTGAGCGATGTAGAAGGTAACTAAACTACCTCCACACAGATATTTAAAAAGCCGGATTTTTAAGTTGGAATGTGCGTGGCGGAGTATGGCAGGTGAAAAAAGAGCCGATCTCTCTCTCTCTCTCTCTCTCTCTCTCTCTCTCTCTCTCTCTCTTCCTCTCTCTCTCTCTCTCTTCTGAGTTAATAAGTTAATGTTTAGGTCGTTTTAAACAAAATCGAAAACTCTAGATGGGTAGTGGGAATATTTTGGATCATTAGGAATGAACGATTACTGGGATTATTAATTTATATTAAGAAGTTTGGTAACAGACGAAACATGGTCAAAAGAAAAAGGAAAAAGCTCATTTTTTTATTATATTTGTAAAGAACAAAACTGTAGTTTAGGTGTGGTACTTTGGATATAATGTCATGTAGGGTATTATTGTAAGATTGGAAGATGGAGAGAAAGGAAAAAGAAGCTTGAATTTTTTTGATTGATAATTGGTAAATGACAACAAACTGTACGTCTCTCTAGGTAGAATGACGTTTGGAAAATGAAGTCAGATTTATGTAGTTTGTGTAAGATTAGTGTACAAGATAGTGAGGAGCAGGGTGGCAGCTGGACGCTGTCATTCTTATGTTGGATTAGAACAGTTTGAAGAGTGGCTATATCAATACTCGTCTCTTAAAGTGAATGGATCCTGCGTGTGTGTTTATTAGTGTGTGTTGTAGTGTCGTACTAGTGTTGAGTGTGTGGTGTGTGAGTGTCTGGCGCTGTTCATCGGGTGTACTGGTCATTCGACGTGTGCTTTTATGACTTGTTGTTGTTGGATCTGGTGTGTGTGTGAGAGAGAGAGAGAGATGAGATTTATGAACTTCACGTACGTCATTAAGGTCACTGTTCTCCTCTACAGATATTATTGTCTAACTCCTAAAGTAGACATTAGTGTCTGTTTACGTCAGTCTCTATTTTAGAGATAATGCATTTATCGGTGATGGCCCGAGTGGTGGCCACGTTGGCCCGTGTGGCCGCCTGAGTGATGGCCCGAGTGGTGGCCAGGATGGCCCGTGTGACGGTCCAGGTGGTGGCCAGGATGTCCCGTGTGGCGGCCTGGGTGGTGGCCCGAACACTTTTTTTTTTATTCGCCGGTACTCTCCTGGCCCGGGTCTTAAATAAATCCTAAAATTAAGTCTCAGCAAGTATACAGTCACGCCTCCCGGCGTACCGTATCAACAGGGATAAACACTTCTCGGCACTTTCAGTATTTATACACCTCTCAGACATATGCCTTATTAGTAGGTAACAGCTAAATAACACCAAAAGGGGAGTATCATCTGTCAGTAGAGGAATATATTGTCTTGGGTTGAGTAGTTGGAAACACGCTCGTTGTTTACATGGGAAGACAGGCTGTGCTACTGAATATATCTTCACATGACTTTTTCTCTGAGTGGCAGTATTATCATTACATTCTCACCTCATCTCTCCTCTCCCGCCCCTCCTTCCCTCCACAACGCCTCCCTCCCCGCCCCTCCACCACGTGAGTCACGAGCCTTGGTCAGGGTAGTCAGTATTACACACTGCAGGTCCTTATCGCTTTGTTCTTGTCAACTAGGGCGCCACTCCGTCTGTCACATGGGATTGCCACGGTTTCTTTCGTCCTGCTTTTAAATTCTTTTAAATTGTCTGCGCAATTTTTCAAATTATTTTTAATATTCATGGAGAAGCAGGAAACCTGAAGAGGATACGCAGTGTCGGGGAAATGGAAGGGGTAAGGTAATCAGGTTTAATTCATGAAGGGGAAAGATGACTCAGAGAAATCGTAATGACACGATTGCAAACAAACCATACCCCCGGCCGGGATTGAACCCGCGGTCATAGTCTCAAAAGCTCCAGCCCGTCGCGTTAGCCACTAGACCGCGGGTTCAATCCCGGCCGGGGGTATGGTTTGGAAGGGGAAAGATGCTCTAATTCCTTCAATTATAACCCTTCACCCGCATCATAGAAGGGTTTTTTGTTCAAAATCAAAAGATGCGTTTTATAATGCTTGTTTTAAAGATGTTAATGTGTGTTTAAAGCGGATTATCGAATACAGATTTATCCTAATAAACAGTAAAATATAAATAAAGAAGTGCTGCAGTAGGTCTGTCTCCTCATACAGGGCAGAATTTCTCAAACTCATCCCTTCTTGAGATCAAAGGTATACAATACCAACACTGATGAGTAAGACGCAACACCTGGGCGCTGCTCGCTTATCATATTCGCTAATCATTCTCACTCGTATTGTCCAAACTATTTTTAATACTAACGTGTTAGCTTCAATGACTACTTGGCAGATTGTTCCACTCACCCACAATTCTATTGCCAAACTAGCTCCTTGCCAAATAATTTCAAAATCTGACCTAATCTATCTTGAATCCATTGTTCCGAGATATTTCTTGATTTTATATATTTTTTAGCACCCTATTTATCTGCTTTGTCTAATCTTGTTTTCCACTGCTTAACCTCCATCATATATATTTTCCCCCCATTCCACGCCTTTCAGAAGTGTAGGTTCAAGGCTCTCACTTTATTATATAAAAAATCTTTATAAATCAGTTTCCATTCTCTGCGTGTTCTCCACCTATTGTAGAGCACATCCATTCTGCGGTGTCTAGACTCGAACTGAGTGGCACAGTCTAAGGAAATCCCCAGCGATGCTGTGTAGAACTGAGTAAGACACGTGAGCAACAGTTGGGTAATTTACTGTCAAAACTTTTCGCCTACGTATTAGGCTTCTACAGTCGAATACAAATACAGAGGGAGACAGCAGAAAGGTGATCAGTCCCTCTGCCAGGTGGCTGTTGGACTGACCACCTCCAAACTATTACTCGTCACTCCATCTTCACTTCCACTGCATCTGTTGTCTTTGTATTCCACTGAAGCCTGTTGTGTAGGCGAAACATTTCGACAATAAGGATATCTCCCCTGTTGCACGTGTTACTCATCTACTTGTAGGTAGTGCAAGAATGGTATATAATATCGACAAGATGAAATTAAGACACATGTGCAACATCTGGGTATCTTTATTGTAGACGTTTCGCCATCCAGTGGCTTTATCAATACAAATTCCAGAACATAACTTGAAGACAATAGGACTATATACAGAAGATGAGATAATCAGTCCTGGAATTTGTATTGATAAAGCCACTGGATGGCGAAACGTCTACAATAAAGATACCCAGATGTTGCACATGTCTTAATTTAATCTACTCGTAGGTACTGTATACCGTTATTAAAATTGTGTGTGTGAAGCTTTAGAATTCCTACCGCTTACACTTCTTGATATAAACCCAAATGGTCTGTTACCTAGTAAATAAGACAAGTGTAACACCTGGATTATTCGAACTTGAATCTTGGAGGTGGGAAGTGCAGTTCCTGCACGCTGAAGAGGGGTGGGGATATTTGCTGTTTGGTGGGTCATTTGAACTGTCGCATCTGCGCGCCTCTGGCAAGGCAGTGTGAATAATGGCGAGTTTCTTTTCGGTTCACCCTGTGTATAGAGTACCTGAGAACAATTTAGTTTACCTGGAGTTTACCCAATAGACCCCTGGTTGTCTTCAAGAGGGAGCTGGACAGATACCTAAAGTCAGTGCCAGATCAGCTGGGCTGTGGTTCGTACGTTGGACTACGTGCGGCCAACAGTAACAGCCTCGTTGATTATGCCCTGATCCACCAGGAAGCCTGGTTATGGACCGGGTCGTGGGGGCGTTGATCCCCGGAATGTCCTCCAGGTAGTTACTTATAACAGTGTGAGATCTCGTGTCACATATCACGTAAGATGTATCTTCTTGTTATCGTGGTTATGTTTATCATGAAAGGTTGAAGGTGTCAACATCGCTTATTCTTAAGGATATTACTGTTTCTGCTCAGTTTAGTATGTTGCAATAAAGCCTATAGACTACATGTTAGATAATTATAACTACAATTCACATGTTTACTGTAGAGAATGTTTGGTTCTCTAAAATAAGGATGAGTAAATTTTCGGTTTATACACACTTGTTTACTCTAAACGGACTTTACTTTATCAACTTAGTCATATCTTATCATTTTAACAGCTCCAACACCTCTATAAACAGATGTCAAAATTTACTTACTCATTGTGCAAACTTTGTCTAATGTATAATATAAATTAGAGCAAGATTCTATATATATATTTATCGCATGTTCTGAGTTGAACACTTGGGCTCATTAAGAAATTTAGATTTTTTTTTTTTTTGAAATATGAGACGGTTCTTTTCATAAATTGGGTTTATTAAGATATTTATTCTTGCAGGAGTGTTGGATTCAACTGAAAATTGAGCCCAGTTGTCTTGTTTACTCAATTAAATTTGGTTTTAGGGTGCTCTGGTTTCTTATTTCATTAATCCTATTATAGACTGGGATACGAAGCTGTTAGTGGAGGGTTAGTCACCAGGTTTAAACATTCTCAACATTTACACGTTCTAAATCAACCCCATTATCACACTGGCACGGGTAGTACAGCATTATCACACTGGCACGGGTAGTACAGCATTATCACACTGGCACGGGTTAGTACAGCATTATCACACTGGCACGGGTAGTACAGCATTATCACACTGGCACGGGTAGTACAGCATTATCACACTGGCACGGGTAGTACAGCATTATCACACTGGCACGGGTAGGACAGCATTATCACCACTGGCACGGGTAGTACAGCATTATCACACTGGCACGGGTAGTACAGCATTATCACACTGGCACGGGTAGTACAGCATTATCACACTGGCACGGGTAGTACAGCATTATCACACTGGCACGGGTGGACAGCATTATCACCCCTGGCACGGGTAGGACAGCATTATCACACTGGCACGGGTAGTACAGCATTATCACACTGGCACGGGTAGGACAGCATTTTTCACACGGCACGGGTAGTACAGCATTATCACACTGGCACGGGTAGTGCAGCATTATCACACTGGCACGGGTAGTGCAGCATTATCACACTGGCACGGGTAGTAGTGCAGCATTATCACACTGGCACGGGTAGTACAGCATTATCACACTGGCACGGGTAGGACAGCATTATCACACCGGCACGGGTAGTACAGCATTATCACACTGGCACGGGTAGTACAGCATTATCACACTGGCACGGGTAGTACAGCATTATCACACTGGCACGGGTAGTACAGCATTATCACACGGCACGGGTAGTACAGCATTATCACACTGGCACGGGTAGGGACAGCATTATCACAACCGGCACGGGGTAGTCAGCATTATCACACTGGCACGGGTAGTACAGCATTACCACACTGGCACGGGTAGTACAGCATTATCACCCCTGGCACGGGTAGTACAGCATTATCACACTGGCACGGGTAGTACAGCATTATCACACTGGCACGGGTAGGACAGCATTACCACACTGGCACGGGTAGTACAGCATTACCACACTGGCACGGGTAGTACAGCATTATCACACTGGCACGGGTAGTACAGCATTATCACACTGGCACGGGTAGTACAGCATTATCACACTGGCACGGGTAGGGCAGCATTATCACACTGGCACGGGTAGGGCAGCATTATCACACTGGCACGGGTAGTACAGCATTATCACACTGGCACGGGTAGTACAGCATTATCACACCGGCACGGGTAGTACAGCATTATCACACCGGCACGGGTAGGACAGCATTATTACACCGGCACGGGTAGGACAGCATTATCACACTGGCACGGGTAGGGCAGCATTATCACACTGGCACGGGTAGGACAGCATTATCACACTGGCACGGGTAGGACAGCATTATCACACTGGCACGGGTAGTACAGCATTATCACACTGGCACGGGTAGTACAGCATTATCACACTGGCACGGGTAGTACAGCATTATCACACTGGCACGGGTAGTACAGCATTATCACACTGGCACGGGTAGTACGCATTATCACACTGGCACGGGTAGTACAGCATTATCACACTGGCACGGGTAGTACAGCATTATCACACTGGCACGGGTAGTACAGCATTATCACACTGGCACGGGTAGTGCAGCATTATCACACTGGCACGGGTAGTGCAGCATTATCACACTGGCACGGGTAGTACAGCATTATCACACTGGCACGGGTAGTACAGCATTATCACACTGGCACGGGTAGTACAGCATTATCACACTGGCACGGGTAGTACAGCATTATCACACTGGCACGGGTAGTACAGCATTATCACACTGGCACGGGTAGGGCAGCATTACCACACTGGCACGGGTAGTACAGCATTATCACACTGGCACGGGTAGTACAGCATTATCACACTGGCACGGGTAGTACAGCATTATCACACTGGCACGGGTAGTACAGCATCATCACACTGGCACGGGTAGTACAGCATTATCACACTGGCACGGGTAGTACAGCATCATCACACTGGCACGGGTTAGTACAGCATCATCACACTGGCACGGGTAGTACAGCATCATCACACTGGCAGGGTTAGTACAGCATTATCACACTGGCACGGGTAGTACAGCATTATCACACTGGCACGGGTAGTACAGCATTATCACACTGGCACGGGTAGTACAGCATTATCACACTGGCACGGGTAGGACAGCATTATCACACTGGCACGGGTAGTACAGCATTACCACACTGGCACGGGGGAGTACAGCATTATCACACTGGCACGGTAGTACAGCATTATCACACTGGCACGGGTAGTTACAGCATTATCACATGGCACGGGTAGGGCAGCATTATCACACTGGCACGGGTAGGGCAGCATTATCACACTGGCACGGGTAGTACAGCATTATCACACTGGCACGGGTAGTACAGCATTATCACACCGGCACGGGTAGTACAGCATTATCACACCGGCACGGGTAGGACAGCATTATTACACCGGCACGGGTAGGACGCATTATCAAAACTGGCACGGGTTAGGGCAGCATTATCACACTGGCACGGGTTAGGACAGCATTATCACACTGGCACGGGTAGGACAGCATTATCACACTGGCACGGGTAGTACAGCATTATCACACTGGCACGGGTAGTACAGCATTATCACACTGGCACGGGTAGTACAGCATTATCACACTGGCACGGGTAGTACAGCATTATCACACTGGCACGGGTAGTACAGCATTATCACACTGGCACGGGTAGTACAGCATTATCACACTGGCACGGGTAGTACAGCATTATCACACTGGCACGGGTAGTACAGCATTATCACACTGGCACGGGTAGTTTCAAACATTATCACACTGGCACGGGTAGTACAGCATTATCACACTGGCACGGGTTAGTGCAGCATTATCACACTGGCACGGGTAGTGCAGCATTATCACACTGGCACGGGTTTGTACAGCATTATCACACTGGCACGGGTAGTACAGCATTATCACACTGGCACGGGTAGTACAGCATTATCACACTGGCACGGGTAGTACAGCATTATCACACTGGCACGGGTAGTACAGCATTATCAACACTGGCACGGGTTAGGGCAGCATTACCACACTGGCACGGGTAGTACAGCATTATCACACTGGCACGGGTAGTACAGCATTATCACACTGGCACGGGTAGTACAGCATTATCACACTGGCACGGGTAGTACAGCATCATCACACTGGCACGGGTAGTACAGCATTATCACACTGGCAGGGTTTGTACAGCATTATCACACTGGCACGGGTAGTACAGCATCATCACACTGGCACGGGTAGTACAGCATCATCACACTGGCACGGGTTAGTACAGCATTATCACACTGGCACGGGTAGTACAGCATTATCACAAATGGCACGGGTAGTGCAGCATTATCACACTGGCACGGGTAGTGCAGCATTATCACACTGGCACGGGTTTGTGCAGCATTATCACACTGGCACGGGTAGTACAGCATTATCACACTGGCACGGGTAGTACAGCATTATCACACTGGCACGGGTAGTACAGCATTATCACACTGGCACGGGTAGTACAGCATTATCACAACTGGCACGGGTAGGGCAGCATTACACACTGGCACGGGTAGTACAGCATTATCACACTGGCACGGGTAGTACAGCAAATTTTCACACTGGCACGGGTAGTACAGCATTATCACACTGGCACGGGTAGTACAGCATCATCACACTGGCACGGGTAGTACAGCATTATCACACTGGCACGGGTTTGTACAGCATTATCACACTGGCACGGGTAGTACAGCATCATCAACACTGGCACGGGTAGTACAGCATTATCACACTGGCACGGGTAGTACAGCATTATCACACTGGCACGGGTAGTACAGCATTATCACACTGGCACGGGTAGTACAGCATTATCACACTGGCACGGGTAGTACAGCATTATCACACTGGCACGGGTAGTACAGCATTTATCACACTGGCACGGGTAGTACAGCATTATCACACTGGCACGGGTAGTACAGCATTATCACACTGGCACGGGTAGTACAGCATCATCACACTGGCACGGGTAGTACAGCATTATCACACCGGCACGGGTAGTACAGCATTATCACACTGGCACGGGTAGTACAGCATCATCACACTGGCACGGGTAGTACAGCATTATCACACTGGCACGGGTAGGACAGCATTATCACATTCGTTCTTCAAGCTGGAGGACCAAGTAAAGAACAATCCCAGCTTGGAATAATGCTTATTACAAGTCTACGAAAATACTTCATTTATTTTATGTAATACTGCTGATTTAAGTAAGTTTTGGCTCCTAAGTGTCAGAAAATTTAAGAAAAAAAAAATCACATAATTCATTAGAATATCCATATTAATTCATAAGCTAGTTTTTTTTTTATCTGAAAAGCAAAAAAAAATTTTAAGATTAGTTATTAATACGTATACATTACAAGTTCTAAATGTTAAATTTATGTTTGCCTTTTCACTGTTAAACATTATAGATGATATAATAGTGATTGTGATTGTGTTGCCTTGCAGATGTGGGGTTAGTGAGGAGGTGGCAGCGCTGGTGCTAACACAAGGTCTTCACTACTCGTCTTTACTAATTACCAAAGTCTCTGCTTAATTATGGAGCAGAGAGACAGTAGTATTCGATATAAGTAATAGACATTTACTACCGGTAAGGTGTCAGAAAATTTAAACTTTCAAATTATACCAAGAATATCCAGGAATAACTGAATCTGAAGTGAACTGAAACCAAATAATTACTTGTTAATAAAAAAATATTTTGTTCTTACTGAGAATATAACTATCTTAAGAGGAACATCCGATTAAGTACCTCATAACTTGGGGAGAGACACCCATACAACAGCACCACCAGGGAGACACACCCATACAACAGCACCACCAGGGACGCCACCATGACTCGTACTACCTTCAACATCACCACCGTGTACTCGTCAGCACAGTGTGTACTTTCTGTAGTGGGGTCTGTTGGTGTAATCCTGCTGTTCGCTGGCATCCCACAGCTTATCTACTCTCCTGTGGTGAGCGTGGCCAACCTCATGACCTTCCTGCTGGGTGCCATACTCATTACCACCATGGTAGCTGGAAACTCCTTCCTCAACTACAAGTACCGCAGATTTGAGCGAGAGGCTCGTGAACGACGGGTAAGTCTAGCGCAACTACTGTATTTTCTCACCACTACAATATTAATATGAAAATAATCTAAAACTGCGTGTTAAATGTTACTGGCTAGAGATTAAGTTCGACATTTAACATTAGTTTTAGATTAAATTGGACACTAAAATATATTAATGAAAACTACACCTGCTTGAAAAAATAGAGGTAATATTTAAGTAGATTTGTGTTTTAGTAATTAATATATAACCAGCAGTTGTATTTGGCAAATTTAATGAACGTTCAAGATGCTTAGTGTACACAAATAACCCACACATACAATAGAGAAGCTTAGAACGACGTTTCGGTCTAACTTTATGCTTCGTGTATTTTGACTTGCGTTGTTGTTACGGGCGGGATATCAGTCGAAACACAAATAAAAGTAACCGGATGTCGGCTGCCTTGCGATAGCGAGACAGCAAAGCTGACGTAGCATATGTAATCACTAATATTGGTGATATTACCGCCTGCCACATCTACTGGTGAAAAAAATAAACCACAATATCGTGGCTCGAACAATTCACCAAAATTCTGCTCTTAGGAAAGGAAGCTTGTGCCGACGATCCCTCCTGGGCCCATTGGCCTCTGTTGGAGGGACCAGTAGTGATAGTAGTAGTTATAGTGGTGGTCGTGGAATTAGCGGCGGCGGTGGTAGTAGTAGTAGTAAAATAGCAGGTGGTGGTAGTAGCAATAATGATAGCAGAATAATCTGATAGCAATGATAGCAGGAGGTAGTATTAAGTATTAGTCGTGCCCAGCATGGGCCAGCAGGTCTCCTGCAGTGCTCCCCTTCTGTTCTTATGTACTACTATTACTACTGCAACTATTATTACTAAATATTTCAATACTAATACTCTAGTACATCTACTATTACTCTCTCATTACTTCCACTATTACTAATACTGTTGCTACATGTCTTACTGCTACTACTACTAATTCTATGACCACTACTACTATCACTTCTGTTACTATTACTACTATTCCCCTCTTTTCCTTCCCCTTCTCAGTGTTTTCTGGCCCTCTGTTTTTTTTTCTCTATCTGGCTTGACAGTAGTTAGGACAGACTGAAACGTTGTCATGAGGTTTCTCCCTCCTCCCTGTAGTCAGGGTTTTAAGTGACCATCTACTGGTGATTCTTCTTAAGTTGCTTTTTTTTTTTTTTTTACCCTTACCAATTTCCAAACTGGTTTTTCTTGGCATTTTACACTTTCATTTTGGTACTTGTTGAGCATATGTTCTCACTGGCATTTATCAAATTTATTAAAGTTTGGGCTCACATGATAATAAAGCTACTGTCGTCTTCGAGCTGCCACATTAACCTCACTCGTAGCCACCTGTTTGCAGGTGCTGCTGTTACCCTCGTGTGTGGCTTGTGGAGTGCTGCTGACTGGAACGCATTTTAAGTTTCTCCACATCTTAAGCCGTTCTTCCTTCGTCATAATTACCGGGGTGCCTGTAGAGACGGACTTTTAGAAGAGTAATTTGTTAATATTTCGATGAAAATTTTAGCCGAATGTTGATTATTTTAACTTAGTATGAGAGTGTGCTGAGCATTTTTTATTGCATTTTTCTTTGTTTTTGTTAAGACACTGTCTTACTTTTTATTGCTAAGTGCACTGAATGACTTACGAGGTCCAAGCGATCTGTGTATCACGACTACTAGTCTTTCCATGCTGCGCTTACCTCATCACCCTCTCCCGGTTCACCATTGCCTCTCGTACCTGGAAGGTGATTCTCAGCCGACGCCGCCAGTCCTGCTCTGGACGCCGGCCGGGAATTCCTCTACCTACCTGGTCTACACTGCCGCCTCTTTCCTTCCGCGTTTTATATTACATTTTCCACTTACACGGATAACAGATACTCCATGATGGTTTTAAGGTGTTCGAACTGTGCTCTCTGAATCATTGATAAAAGATTTATGTAATCGGTAGCTAAATGCTCGAAAAGAAAGCAACTTTGGGGTGAGGCACTGTGGAAGGTAAATAAAGTGAATAGTACTGCCATAAACACAACTGAATTAGGTTGGTCTTCACGGAAAGGGCTTAAACCGGCACCTGAAACAAATGACTGTGTAAGCGTCCAATATAACTAGAAATAACCAAAATAAACACACACACACACACACACACACACACACACACACACACACACACACACACACACACACACAGATCAAGGAAAATTATAAATACGGACTTCCGTCCATCAACTGACACTGAGGAAGTGATGCAGCAAAAACTACTTCCTTGTTCTGCACATAGTTTTTCTTGCTAAGTCAGCTTCTTCCCTTTAAGGAGGCGTCTTAATGATGGGGCGGAGGCTCCTGATCCAAGGAATTTGACTCTTTCTCCCATTCCTCGGATAAACCCTGATTTCTTCCCACTGCCCCGGGCGCTTTATGATCCCTATGGGTTTAGTGCTTCCCCTACGCAAAATTATGTATAACTTGAACCTACCCTGACCTTTCTCACACCTGACCTAACATATTATCTGGCTTTGCCTTACTAAGGGTCAGCAAGACGCAGTAATTCGTTTTCTCGGTATTTAAGTTATCGTTGTCGACAACAGTGTCTTGCGATGAACTTGGGTTCTTTTCATTTTTTTCTCTCCCTTGTTCGACTGTCTAGCAGGAAGTGTAGGATCGTGTTTCATGAGGTGTGGTTCTTTGTGGCAGCACGCTCAGCCTTACCTTTCATATACCTTTGATTAGCTTAGAGAGCTTTTTTTTCTACTCGGAACCCGGCCATGGGGCCAGGCTTGTCTGATACTTGCCTGGTCAAGCAGGCTGTTGCTGCTGGCGGTCAGCTGGCTCACATATCCATCATAGCCTGGTTGATCGGGCACTCGATGGAGATGCTCGTCCAGTTTTCTCTCGAAGACTTCTGTACTTGTCTAAGCAGTGTTTCTGGTATCCAGTGGAAAAATTTTTGAATAATCTGAGACCACGGATGATAAGAACATAAGAACGAAGGAACACTGCAGAAGGCCTACTGGCCCATGCGAGGCAGGTCCAAGTCTCCTACCGGCTTAAGCCAATGCACCCAACCTAGTCAGGTCAGGTCACATTGACTTAAGGGAGGAACACGGCAACCGACCTGGTAGCACAAGCTGATCAGGTCCAACTCACACCCACTCATGTATTTATCCAACCTATTTTTAAAGCTACACAACGTTCTGGCCTCTATAACTGTACTTGGGAGTTTGTTCCACTCATCCACAACTCTATTACCAAACCAGTACTTTCCTATATCCTTCCTGAATCTGAATTTTTCCAACTTAAAACCATTGCTGCGAGTCCTGTCTAGGCTAGATATTTTCAGCACACTATTTACATCCCCTTTATTTATTCCTGTCTTCCATTTATACACCTCAATCATATCCCCCCCTAATTCTACGTCTTTCTAGAGAGTGCAGATTCAGGGCCCTTAGTCTATCCTCATAGGGAAGGTTTCTGATACATGGGATCAACTTTGTCATCCTCCTTTGTACATTTTCCAGAGCATTTATATCCGTTGTTTCAGACAACGGAACAATGCTCTTCTCCAGACTGAGGGACTGACCACCTCAAAACTTTAAGGGTGATGGACTGATTACATCGTCTTCAAGTATCTTCTGCTTCTGTCAACTTTTCTGTACTCGACTGAAGAAGCCTACTGTGTAGGCGAAACGTTTCAAAATAAAGATACCTAACTGTTGCATATGTGTCTTACCTTGGAGTAGTGTTCACAGCATCGTGGTGGAGGAGAATCTGGAGCTCAGATTATAAGAAGCCAACTCGATAAGCATAGCTTGATTAATGATACTCAGCATGGATTCACAAGAGGCCGGTCTTGTCTAACTAATTTATTAACTTTCTTCAGTAAAGCTTTTGAGGCTGTTGACCACGATAAAGAGTTTGATATTATTTACTTAGATTTTAGTAAGGCTTTTGATAGAGTTCTGCACCAAAGACTGTTAAAGAAAGTGGCAGCTCATGGCATTGGGGGAAAAGTGCTCTCGTGGATCGAGTCATGGCTCAGACAGGAAGCAGTGTGTCCATAAATGGGGTTAAATCCGTGTGAGGATCTGTAACAAGTGGCGTTCCACAGGGATCAGTCTTGGGCTCGTTGTTGTTTATAATATATATCAATGACCTTGATGAGGGAATTACTAGTGATATGAGCAAATTCGCCGATGACACAAAGATAGGTAGGATAATTGATTCAAACGTAGACGTTAGGGAACTTCAGGAGGATTTAGACAAACTCTATTCTTGGTCAGAAAAGTGGCAGATGCAGTTCAATGTAGATAAATGCAAGGTTCTGAAGCTCGGGAGTGTCCATAACCCTAGCACTTATAAGTTAAATGATGTAGAACTTAGCCATACAGATTGCGAAAAGGACTTGGGGGTTATACTAGTATACTAGTATAGATAAATGCAAGGTTCTGAAGCTCGGGAGTGTCCATAACCCTAGCACTTATAAGTTAAATGATGTAGAACTTAGCCATACAGATTGCGAAAAGGACTTGGGGGTTATAAGAACATAACATAAGAACATAAGAACGAAGGAACACTGCAGAAGGCCTACTGGCCCATGCGAGGCAGGTCCAAGTCTCCTACCGGCTTAAGCCAATGCACCCAACCTAGTCAGGTCAGGTCACATTGACTTAAGGGAGGAACACGGCAACCGACCTGTTAGCACAAGCTATCAGGTCTAACTCACACCCACCCACATCTACTCATGTATTTATCCAACCTATTTTTAAAGCTACACAACGTTCTGGCCTCTATAACGGTACTTGGGAGTTTGTTCCACTCATCCACAACTCTATTACCAAACCAGTACTTTCCTATATCCTTCCTGAATCTGAATTTTTCCAACTTAAAACCATTGCTGCGAGTCCTGTCTAGGCTAGATATTTTCAGCACACTATTTACATCCCCTTTATTTATTCCTGTCTTCCATTTATACACCTCAATCATATCCCCCTAATTCTACGTCTTTCTAGA